CCTTGGTACTTGGGAATTAGTCTTCGAGGCATTTCTTAACTCTTCACTCCTTTTCAATAATTTTTTGGGGAAAAGCTGTTGAATTACTCTGAAAATTGCCCTTTTCATCTTTGACAACTTCCTAAGATTAGAAACTGAAATAAAAACATCAGGTTTCTTAGTCCCAATGCAAAATCAGTTTTCTCATAGGAGACATTGATTGGGCACATTAAAATTAAGTTCCACAGTCCAGGTTCCATTCATTTTTTTTATTTCTTAATATGTTTTTATGTTTTAAAGGAATTCCCTAAATGAATAATAATGGGGGTGGGTAGGGAGAATCCAAATCAATATTTATTGTTCAACGGGAGAAAAGAGAGGCTTAAGTCATTGCAAACAATTTCAGAAATGGGGAGCATACTTGGCAGACAGCTCTCCAAGGAGAAAAGAGATGCATTAGAAGTGTCATGAATTGGTGCTTAGCTCTCAGTTCACTGAATAAGGGTGATAAGATGACAGCATTTCAGCATTTTTGCTTTAAGAAAGTATTGGTTTCTTAAAACAACTATGAGGTCTTCTTCTTCCCACACTTCACAAAATGCTGATTCTGTTCAACATAACTCTAGACCAAGGCAGGATTATCAGTAAGCCACCTGAAAGCTTTTTCCCACATAAACCTCAGGGGAGACCAGAGCAAGATGAAAAAGGTATTGCTTGGAAGAACGAGAGATTAATTCAAACAAATGATTAGTTTAGTGGCTCAGAAATCAGTCCACTGTGTTCCAAAGTAGAAAATAAGTGCATCAGACTCCATTACCCAGCCCTAAGAGACAACAAGTCTGGGCTAGCAAAGTTTAACTACAGGGTTTTCAAAGACTAAGGGAAGTACAGTGACATTCAGGGCTCCACCTATTAAATCTTTTGTAGCCCTCAGTTTTGGGTTTTGAACCTTTTCATAGTCACTGTCCCCATTCTTCCATTTCCTTATTCCTACTCCCAACAGGGAAGGGGATCTACTACGCAATGCATAACAAGCAAGTAACTCATCCTGAGAAAGGAATTTTAATGTCAGATGCAACACATTCATCCTTGCCTTGAATATGTGTATCTCTAATTTTAAGCTTGGTCCGTCAAATCAAAGGGCAGTTGATAACCTTTCACTGCAGTACACCTCAACTACCAGAAACCAAGACAGCAGGCAAACAATCGACAGAGAAAAAGAACTCCCTGTCATTACATCCAGAAACTGGCTTTCCAGACCTCTCAGAAACTGTTTATTTGTCCCCTCCTCAAAAGCAGAACATTTCAGTTCTGATGTATATTTCAAGGATAGGCTACTTAGGTTCCAAAATATTCCCAAGTTAAATGCTCCTCACTATTGTTCTTACTCCCAGATTAAGTATCTACGACAGATTGACTATCACTATCCAGGCTGCTCTGCCCCTGCTTGAACTCTGAGATCCTGTTCAATTTCACTTACATTTCACTCAGAAGGACTGAGTACTATGTCTGATTAAAGAAAGATCTTTTGTCTTACCTTTACTCTTCCACACAAGGCTGCAGACACGGGAGTGTCCACTGTACCAGATATGGTCCTTTCTAGCAGATCTGGGAGAGGTTATCTACATATGGCTAAGAACACTGGAAAGGAAAGCAAACCTTCCAGATCTGTAAGTACCTCTTGAATCAAATTTTAATTTTTGGAAATTCAAACAAATAGAAATCCAGGTACACATAAGTTGTAGAAAATTTTTTTGTGTTGTCAACAATAATGCAACGTATATCTAGAAGGTATCCACAATGACATCCTTAAAAATGGACAGGTGATGTTCCATAATGCTGTTTAGAACATAGTAACACTCTCCTATCTAGAAATGGGTTGAAAAGTATTTTTCAGAGGTAAGTATCAATGAATTTTCCCAAGCTGTTCTGTGTAATTCGGGCCTCTGATTCTTCACATTGGAGATTTTAGTTCTCTTATTACATAACTACATATTTCCTAAAGCTAGAATGATTTACCACCTAGGATTTTGCTGTTATTGATGAATGTCATTGGTCTTTCCCCTTTTCCAGCTAACTTACCAGCCATGAAGATTTCAATAACTGGTTGCTCAACTGAGTTCAGGTAAAAAAGAAGGAGGTGGAGGGAGATAAACAATGAAAGGAAGGAAACTGGAAACCAGGAAATGATAAACTGAATGTTTAGTAATTAATTGGTCTCTCAAGAGAGATAGTCTAGGTCTTTGAAGACAGTAAAGAGTCATTACATGGAAAGAGATTTATTCTCTATTTCCCACCACTAGGAGAGAAGGATATGTGTAAAACTCCAGCAGAAACCTTTAATGATAAACTGCAATAAAAATTTCTAAATAGTAAAAGGTCTTATTCATGTTGTTGAGTTTCAGAGTAAACTCTCCCTCTTCTGAGATGATCTGGACTAGGAGAGACCTCTATTAGTGTAGCTGGTTTATGGCCAATGCTGTCTAGAAATAAAGGAGTAGGATGCAGTGTTCTTTGAAAGTCCCTTGCTAACTATGGGTTTTTAGTACTAAGAACTAGCCTTCCCTAGGGATAAGAACATGGAGGACATAATGTATTAAAGCCAGCCACATCAAATGCCAGCAAGTGCTTTTCTATTATAAAAACAAAAAGATAACAACTCAGTGACTCCTTTCAAGAGTACTCCTCACACCCAAAGTACGGCCCTGACCTTTGAGAAACTCACTAGGGATTCTAGGCCTTAAATTTTGCTAAGATGAATTTACCAAAGAAATAATAATCCTACTTTCTTTCTTTTTTCTTTTTTTTTCCTTTTCGTCTTTTTTCGTGTCCGGCAACGGATCGCAACCCTCAGTGTCGCGCCCGCACCGGACCAGGACCGGCAACGGGATCACAACCCTCAGCGTTGCTCCCACACCTCACTCAGCCAGGGAGCGGGAACCGGTCTGTATGTGGGATCCGAACCCTCGGTGGTAGGCCACCGCGCTTCCCAAGCGGCGCACTGTAGCAGTGCACACCTCACTCAGCCAGTGAGCGGGAACCGGTCTGTATGTGGGATCCGAACCCTCGGCGGTAGGCCACCGCGCTTCCCAAGCGGCGCACTGTAGCAGTGCGCCACCGGGCCGGCCCCTAATCCTACTTTCTTTCTAAAACACAGTCATTTGAAATCACAGCCTTACTTTTTTGTCACTGTTTTCAACCATGCCATTTTCCTCATCAAATTTGATTCCCCATCAGCTTTTCAGAGTTAGCTGGTTCCAAGGTTTCTATCAGACTGTCCTACCATCCTCCCACTCCTAACTACCACAGCTACCCCTTGTGTTCTGGCCAAATAAATCTTTTGGCACCATTTTCCTTACTCCCACTGCTGCCTCCATATCCTCCTCCACCCCCTATGTCTGGAACAGTCTCCCTCTTCCATCTGCCATTTTTCTCTCTCCTCTCAATCTTATCATTGCCCCCAAAGCCGACCTCTCCTAGGAAGCCTTCCTTAATCAAGATTAAGGACTCTTCTAGAACAGTGGTTACCAGAGTCTGGGGAGGGGATGGGGGAAAGGAAAACAGGGAGAGATTAGCCAACAGGTACAAAATTCAATTTGATAGGAGGAATAAGTTCTGGTGTTCTATTGCACAATAGGATGACTATGGTTAACAGTTAAGTTTTGTATGTTACAAAATAGCTGGAGGAGAGGATTTTGAATGTTTTCACCATAAAGAAAAGATAAGTGCATGAGGTGATAGTTACATTAACTACCCTGACCTGATCATTATACAACATATATATGAATCAAAACATCAGATTGTGCCCCACAGTTATACGAAAAGCCTCAAATGCACTTACCTACCACGTACAATTACAATGTGTCAATGAAAATGAATGAATGAATGAATAAATAAATAAATAAATAAATAAATAAATGAATGAATGAATAAATAAATAAATAAAGAATCAAAGACTCTTCAGACTACAACAGACATTACCTGACACTGATGTCTAATGCATCCCAAATTTTCAGAACAAATTACCTTTCTGGGATAAGACGCAATACTTACATAAACAACTAGGGGTGACAGTGGTAGTGGAATACTTTTTCTAAGAGATATGAGGCTGGGCGGTTAGCTCAGTTGGTTAGAGTGCTGTGTTATAACACCAAGGTCAAAGGTTTGAGTCCCCATACAGGCCAGCCACCAAAAAACAAAACAACAACAACAAAAAAACAACAACCAGTGACTATGTGAAGAAAAGAGACTATTTCCACAAGCCATCCTTTTCAAAGTACTGAAGTCCTCTATTTGAATTCCCTCAGATCCTAAGAGTATCCTTGTCATTTCTCATCCCCTAGATGAAGTCTGTTCGCAAGTACATGCATATTTACATCAGTCAAGAGTTTGAGCAGATGCTTCCAACAAAGCACAGATCCTAAGAGTATCCTTGTCATTTCTCATCCCCTAGATGAAGTCTGTTCGCAAGTACATGCCTATTTACATCAGTCAAGAGTTTGAGCAGATGCTTCCAACAAAGCACGGGGTACTCTAATTACATGTTTGAATGTTGAAGGAATTAAAGAATCAATCAGCTATTAGATGCAATTTATGCAGGTTCCAAAGAGGTTATTTCTATACACAATTTTGCTTCTCATAGAAGTGAGATAACCATGACTATGAGTTTGGCTTCTTATTCTGCAGAAAGGTTTGAGGACCAAGTTTCAGATGTGGTAGGGTTACTCACCCTCATATCTAGTGAGTCCCATTTATGAAGCTGCTTTACTTCTGTTTTAAAAGCCTCTTTTATTGCAAGCCAACCTTTCACCATTGAGAAATTAGGGTTCAGGTCTCAATCCAAGCAAAGCTGAGGTTAGTTGCATCATCTCTATCCTCAGGGGCTTGGTATCCTGGGAAATCCAGGGTAACAACAGGGTGAATCTAGGACACACGTTAGCAGAGATGGTGCAGTGTGATGGGGCGGGCATCCAACACCCTAAGTGTGCTTTAGTTACCAGAATATTAGACACACCCACAAATTAAACAGCAAAACATTTTAATCCATTAATTCTAAAAATAAGAGAGACAATTTATATCTAGTGCCACCTCCTCAAAAGTCTACTGCAGATTAGACAGCCAGACTGCAAAGTATAAAACCAGACATTACAGTTAAAGATGCATTTTGGGACAAGACCATCATGGGGACATTTTCCTCCCCTCTGCTCATAAACATAAGTTGTCATCTTAAAAAATCCTTAGAAGGAAAGAGAAAGCTTTCTCATGCTCTAAAACCTTTCTCTTTATTTTAAATCTGTGTGCAGTGTTTGAAGGCAAAATAGATAATCAGCAAACTTACCTCTCAAGTACAAGGATCTGAGCTGGATTCCTGGGACTACAGACGGTGGTTTAGTTCTATTCCTACCAACATTGTGATGTGAGGTACTATGGTTCTTGTTTTAGTTACAAGAGGTGTTAGGAATGAATGCCCACTCACATTTAATAATAGCTTATCTAGCACGCAACTCTGCAGCACAATACCAACAACAGGAGTGTTTTAAACAGGGTGGAGAAGAAAGTAGACATTAATACAGCTTAAGGTTTCTTTTGTCCTTCCGCTCTTTGTACAATGAGAATTCAGCTCAAAAAGAAAACTCTCCAGAATGCCCATACTGTCCTTTGGTTCACCACATTCCAAACTTCTGACTTCTGATTCCAATCCCTTAGAGCCTCAGGCTTTAGTGATGTATCCTTCTCGGATGAGGAAATCATAGATTTTCCGGGTTTTGTTCACATCTATCTTGATGAGTGCTCTTGCCTGTGCCAGTCTCAAGCCTCCTTGCTTGTTACATTCGTTCAGTAGGGCAGATTTGTATTCTAAATAGGCTCCAGGGACCAACCTCACCATCTGACAGAGCTGCAAGACATGGAAAATTTAATAAACATTAACATCTGTCATTCTCATAATTTAATCCAGCAGGTATAGCAAAAAAAAATTTTAAGTGACATCAACTTCCAACTATTTATAGGAGCTATTGGGTGGCTGGACCACATTCCATTTAGTCTCTTCTTCTCTGGCGGGAACACTCCCTGAGGACAGACACCCAGGAAGAAAAAGCCAGAGTATGATGCTAGGAGAGCCTTTAGTACATGCAGGCTGGCTCAGGGGCCTGGGTTTGTCAGGGAATACAAGTATGTTTTCCTGAGGATCATCCTGAGTCTCTCAGAAGTCAAGCACTAAATGCCCAGATAGAGGCTCAGCACTATTCCAAGTCAGTCAGGGAAGAGCCACAGGGGACAGTGGGGGCAGGGGTGCAGAGACTTGGATTCCCAAGTGTGAATCACATTACTTTCAGTATTGGCATAAAGTAGCAGTCCCTGCTTTTGTGATTACCTTTCCTACTCCAGAGGGAAAGGAGATACAGAGACCTTACTAAGAGGCCACTTTAACTGCTAATGATCTAGAAAGTTGGCTCAATTCCTGTTCATGTGCCATTATACAGCAATGAGCAGTCTGAGGTCACCATTACATGGGTAAGGATAAAAAATGCTTGAAATGCCAGGTGTGATTCAATATTTGAATCAGACTGGCCTGTGACCTTCTTCAGCAATACATAGATATAACATATTCTTCCTTCTACTCCCAAACTAATCTTTTTCTTTTTTTTAGATAGCTGACCAGCACGGGGATCCAAACCCTTTGACCTTGGTATTATAAAACCATGCTCCAAACTAATCTTTACTGTTCCCACTGGATAAAATAAGATTAATACTAGCCCCTATACCATGACTCTTCCTTATTGTCTGACCTGAACTAATGACATGGAGTAGTAGATGGGGAGACTGAACTTGGGAATTATAAAAAGAGCACAGGAGGAACAAAAGAGGAATTATTCTTTTGGAATAGACTTCAGAGCTGTGACACATTCTTTTGAAAACTCTTGAGGATGATTCTTTTTTTTTTTTTCCTTTTTGTCTTTTTAACGGGATCGCAACCTTTGGTGTTGCGCCCACACCGCGCTTCTCTATATGGGCGGACCGGTCTCTATATGGGATCCGAACCCTTGGTGGGAGCGCCGCCACGCTCCCAAGTGCCGCACTCTACCGAGTGCGCCACCGGGCCGGCCCTTGAGGATGATTCTTATGAAGCTGTATTTAAATTTTAGAAAGAGCCAAAGCAATACAAAGATAAATCTAATAATTGCAATGGGGAAAAAATGTAGGCCAGGACATTTTTTAAATGAAAATGTGTGACTATTTATGATGGTGAAGTCCTTTCTTTATGCATATAAACATGTTCTGGAGACAATTCAAAAAATGTTTTAAGTGATGGTTATATTGTTAGAATAAGTGTAGAACTTATCAAAGTGAACATTCTAATAGGAAATACCTATTTTCATGTAAAAGTTATTTTACGTTTACAAAAGATTAATTTCATTTACATAAAGCACTTAGTAGAGTGTCTGGCACAAAATGCTCAAAAAATGAGCCGGCCCGGTGGCGCACTGCTACAGTGCACCGCTTGGGAAGTGCAGTGGCGCTCCCGCTGAGGGTTCGGATCCCACATGCAGACCGGTTCCCGCTCACTGGCTGAGCGAGGTGTGGGAGCAACGCCGAGGGTTGCGATCCCGTTGCCGGTCCCGGTCCGGTACGGGCGCGACACTGAGGGTTGCGCTCCGTTGCCGGACACGAAAAAAAAAAAAAGACCAAAAAAAAAAAAAAAAAGGAAAAAAAAAAATGCTCAAAAAATGATAGTTGGTGCTATTATTTAATTTTAATTTTTCTTTCCCCAAAAGAGGAATGACTGCAGAGTAATGAGAAAGTTCTCTGAAACCTGCTGAGATAAGCTCTTTAGCTCTTAAATTTCTAGGACAGGTTAGAGCAGTACACATATGTTAGATAAGTAGAGCAAAGTGGACTTGATCCTATAATGAATTTTTAATAACTCAATGAATAACCAGCCCCTATTCTTTTTTCTCTAGTCTTCCCCGAACTCCTTTTAGTTACCTCCTTTTCTTTTTCATTCAGCTTCTCCGTGCCAGGGAGGCCAGTGAGGTTCAAGGGAGGTGCACTCCGTCTACCTACAGACAGGCAGAAAAGAACACAGATTTCATAAGAGTGACAGTTCCTCATGTGTAAACTATAACAAAGTTCAGAGCAACCGGGCCAGCTCTGTATAGGATCACTATATCCAGCTGTAGGAAATCTTGATCCATCCCTTCAGGCCTGTTTAGCTAGCAACATGAGCTCCCCAACATTCACTTGAAAATAAAAATTCATATACAATCACACATAAATTAGCATCAAATATAACTGCTTACCAGTGATTATCGTCTATTTCTTCCTATCCACGAAGGAGATTCTAAAATCTGAAACCCAGATGTCATCCAGGTAAGAAAGGTCATACGCTGCTTGCCTTAATAGCTGATGAATGGAAATAACTCTGCAGGAGAGACATTCCCTAATCCTTGCCACTCTGTCAGCAGTACAAGGCAAACATGGTAATTAACCAAGTACTATGTGCCTTCAGATCAAAGGCAGACTGTTAGGCCAGCAAAAGGCCCTTCTTATTTATTATGTGAGGGAATATCTGTTCCTTCCAAAGTAGCCCTGCTTACCTGAAAGATCCACACACAGAAAAATAAGCTATTATATGGCAAAGCAGAGACTGAGGTCAATTCACATACCTGAGAAAGAACCCAAGTAGGAGGTCACAGGCCAGCATGGGAAGCTTATCTACAAAATTTTTTTGGTTTTGTTTTGAGTGTATATTTGGGATTAATTAGTATTCAGTTGGGAATGGATGAACTGGGTTAAACAAAGAAAATTTAGAATAATTTATTAAAATTTTATGGAGGTTGGGGAGGGACTGTTACAAGCTGCTCTGCTGGAAAATAGGTTTCCCTGTAATAACAAAGGGGATAACGGCTTACCCCAAATGCTCAAAAAGGGAGATAAAACCATTTGGTGCCTCACTAAAGTCGCCAGAGGCTAGACTATCATCAATGATGCAGGCTTCCAATTAAAAGCAACTTAAGGGGTGAGGAAGGCTAATACCAGCTTAGGAAGAAACAATGAATAAGTGAGTGCAGAGGGTTCAGAAAACACAAATACCAAAGCTCCACAATCATGTTATCCAGGTCATTCATTTTAATTAGCCAATACTAAGATATCTATATTTCTGTATTAAGATTGGGGGGGGGGGGCAGGGGCAGGGCACTGAAAGAAAGAAACTCAACAAAATAAAACTTGGATTTCACTGTCTTGGTGACTTCCTAAAAAGCTCCCTTTTCTCCCTTAAGTACTAAGAAATAATTACTTGAAACAAATGAATGAAAGAAAAAAAAATCACCATCCCTAAAGTGGCCTTATCTGAGCCCTGTCTAGATGCTGAATATACTGAAAGATTTTGCAAGGTCTGTTGTTCCAAGCCTCCAAAGAATAGTAAAACAGCAAATAGGTCACTTTTTGACTGCTCCTTTTCTAATCAGTGAAGTGGTCTGTATGTTCTGACTAGGAGAAATGGCTAATCTCTCATATGGAGCAGGGGTGAATGACAACCAAGAGCACAGACAAAGAAACACCACAACCTTGATTCAGAGCTTTATAACTAATATCTTCCCAAATTCCCAGTCATTGATTTCCAATTACTAAGGATCATGAGATAAAACATAGGTTAGTCTCACTCAGTAAACTAATGTCAAAATAAGACATATTCAGAAGGTAAAGCTAAGAAATACTAATACCTTAAGTCTTCAACTTATAAGAAATCCTTGAGTTTCTGGCAAGTAACATGGTTCTTTGCTTATGTAGGATACAAAGCTTTTAATTTACCTCCTGTGAGTCAAATCTCAAAATTTGTGGTAGATAGAACCAGAGTAAAGTAACTGCCCATGAACATTGGTAAAAGAAAGAAACTACCTCTTTGGAGTTCTTTCTTCCCCTGTCTCTGTACTCTCCCTCTGAGGACAGTTCCTTGCTTGGCCATGAAGATTCTAAAAACATGCTGATGTTTACAAACTGGGCTAACACTTGATTACCATTACTCTGCCTAAATACCCTGGTCCCACAGAAGAGGGGAGGATTGATGGGTCACCATAACCCCTAGATTACAAATTTCACAATCAAGACTTGCTCTGTCCTGGGATATAATTACCTGAATTTGAAGCCATTGGAATGGAAGGACTCAGGCCGGAATCACTACAACAAAGAAGAAGAACTTAAACTTAGGTCCTATCAAAGAAGGCAATTTCCAAAAGCTCCTGTGGGGCTGGGTGCCATTTATCAGGTAGATCACTTTGAAGAGATGTAATGAGACAGACTGCACTATGTTTTACAGGATATCTAATTGTACTGATCAGGAAAGCAAATCTGTTCTTAGGGGAAAAAAATCCTTCAGATTTGTTAAGAAGAGCTCTTAGTCCGGAACATCACTGACACCATTCATGGGAAGGATCGGAACATGATTCTCCAATGAAAATCATACCAGTAGATATGGAAGGGGAGAAAAAGCATGGATGGAAGCTGGGGGGAATTCACTAATTTTTAAAAATAAGATCAAAGTAGCAAAGTAGGACTCTAGAAGGCAAGTTATGTTTCTCAAAACTGTCAGTACCACACAGTTTCTAAGATGGACTGCTAAAATCTTTCTGAATTCTTCTAGCTAATCAATTATAATTACCCTGCCATCTAGGGTGCCCACAGAAGTGCCCAAAAATACATGTGAAGCCAAAGCATCCCAGGAGGAGTCCCCTTCACCCTGGACTAATTACTCACATGTCAGCTTGCCGTCGGAGCCACTGCTGGCAAGCACTACTGTCCTGGATATATTGGAGAACTTCAGAGAGCATGGTACGTTTAAGGCGCTCTTCCTCTCGTGTCTTCTTGAGGTGATCATAGGTTCTGGCACCTGGAAGTGTAGAAAATACCACAAATGCTATAATAATGCAGCAGAACTGAAGGGCTTCCTAACCGGCAAACAGTTCATCTTTTTTTGTTTTCCTTTGCAAAATTGCTTTCACAATTATTTTTCCAAGAGAAAAAATAGGTTTCCCCTAGTTTGAGATCCCTTTTTTGACACTAAATGAAATATTTTTATTCCTTTTCTATCTTTAAGAAATTTTTTTTTGGGGGGGAAACCCAGAAAAGTATATAGAAAATAAGAGTCTTTCATAAAGTAATTTTTACTATTGTAATACTTGCTTCCTATTCTGTTTTTTCTATTTGTATATTTTTCAAAGTCACACAACTGCTATAAGCATACACTCTTCCTTAAAAATCACTGGTCCTTGACCAGTACTACTCCTTTTCCCTATTTTCCAGAGGCAAACGATATCAGGTAACCAAAACTGGATATCATGATGTTTTCTACATGTTAACAAAGGCATACTGATTCCAAAATACCACACGAGTGGGTTTCAAACTGTGTTCCACAGAGCCACAGGATACCAGAAAGTATTTCAGTGGTTACTATGAAGAGCAAGGGAACCACCAAATACTGGTGGTCCTGGGCTCTACACATGAGCTGAACCATTAAACTTCAACCAAAGTAATTCCCTTTTATCTTATTTGTAGATTAGGGCTTCACGTAAAATTTCAGTTCAAAAACTGTTCCCACTGTTAAAAATAAAGAATAATTATAGCAGGCTGAACTTACACCCATAGGGCTATATTAAGAAACACAGCTACTTCTTGTAGGTAGTGGCTGATAGCTTTCAACAGGAAATAAGGAGGGAATTCAAACAGAAATAAGGAGGGAATGCTAAACATCTTTCCAGTAATAAGAGCGAAACAACAGAAACTGCTGTTTATGAGAATTTGCTGTGTGCCAGGAACTGTGCTATGTTTCATGCACTATCTCCAATCTAATCTTCACACTAACTATAAGAGACTTGGAAAATTGAAACTTGAACAGTTACAGAGCTGATAAACAGGAAAGACAGAATTTAAACCCAAGCTGTTTAAGTCTAGATCCCATGCTCTTAATTACTATAATACACTGCCTTCCCTTATGACCTGGTTCTACTACTGACTAGCTCTTTAATCTCTTTAAACCTTAGTTTTTTCATTAAATGGTGGTTACAGTACTTCATAAGTTTTTCATGAGAATTCAATGACATGATCCAAGTGAAAATTTTAGCACAGGGCCTTGTGCATGGGAAACATTAGTTAGAAGTTAGCTGCTTTCAGGGCCGGCCCGTGGCTTGCTTGAGAGTGGGGTGCTGATAACACCAAGGCCACGGGTTCAGATCCCTATATAGGGATGGCCAGTTAGTTCACTTGGAAGAGCGTGGTGCTGACAACACCAAGTCAAAGGTTAAGATCCCCTTCCGGTCATCTTTAAAAAAAAAAAAAAAAAAAAAGTTAGCTGCTATTAATATAATTACTACTACCTCAAGGAACTGGGAAGCACTTAGAGCCAGTCAAAGCGTGGTTAATTAAAATGATGAAAACAAGCATCACTAAATTCTAAAAAAGCTGAAGTTAAAACCTAGACTACAAAACACTTTTTTTTAGGAGCCACAGCACAATCCTAAATCTAAAGAAGCACCTCTTTTGTGTCACAATTTTTATTCTACCTCAGGTAATCTATAAATGGTATTTATAGGGATTAAATAGATGAAACTTTACTGGAAAGATTAAAAATTCATTCCAAAAAAGAAAAGGTTGTTTAAAAAAAAAATTCACAATACCTCAGAGACTTCCTTTACGTGTTTGAAAGACACTTGCCCTTTGATACAGCATGTAGCTGAAGCATACTTACTACAAAAATTGGTAATGCCTGCTGTCCTATATTCCTGGAGCCTCTTGATTTCCCTTCGGAGTTCAAATTCCACTGTTTTCCCCAAAAAAGAGTGAAGGAGAAAAATTGGAGAAACAATCAACATCAATGAGCACTTTTGCTGCTGAGCATTTTCAGTAATTCTGCCTTATATAAAAGAGTGGGCAATTTCATTTGGGGAATCCTATATGTTGGTAATTTCTCATCAGAAATTTTACACGAGAGCTGAGAAAAATCTGTTCCAGCTGTCTTGCAGCTGCTGTCTCCAGAGGCATCAGCTGGAATTGTCTCCTAGGAAACTTAGACTGAACTGGCTGAATTCATTTGTCTACAAAAGTAATGAATATTTTTTAAATAACCAAGTTTCCCAGCTCTATCTATCCTCTGTTAAAAGTTCTACCCACCTGACCACATTCTTTTATGAAACCTGTCTCTGGTATTACTTGATGTGGCCCTGATGCAAGGGAAGGACAAAAACTCTGTGCTCAAGCCCCTGTTAGTTTCTTTGCAGCTTTTCTCCTATAGGGACAAAAGGGCATTGTGTATTCCAGAAACCAAAGGTTTCTCCCTCCTCTGAGCACAAGATCAGGTTGCACTTGGGTTATTATGTGACAGAACATTCAAATTTGGGTGCTTTTGTAATAGAGGATGAAGAAAGAGACTGGACAATCCATGGGGTGTAGTTCTTTGGAGTGACATATAAACCAGGGATGACACAAACTGGGACAGGAAGTAAAGAATCAGTCACTCCGTAAAAACCACACAAAGAATGCCAACTGAACAAGGCGTTTGGTGAGGACAACCAACGTGGCTTAGATAAATGACTGCAATACTAAGCAAGAAATATTTGCATGATGAGGCAGGAGCCTTGATAAATTACCTTCCCAGGACTAAACTGGGAGACCAAATGCATAAACCTCATAATGAAATGTACAGAATAATCCACCCAGTCCAGACTGTTTTAAAGTCTAGGACTTATTGCCTTAACAACTTTAATTATTTATAGTGAAAAATCACATGGTAACTAGGTAGAGCTCTCTCAGGAATACCACAGAAAGGCAAGAGAATGATGAAGTGGCTGGGCCAGTTAGCTCAGTTGGTTAGAGTGTGGTGCTGATAACACCAAGGTCCAGGGTTCGATCTGTGTACCAGCCAGCTGCCCCCCTAAAACACAAAAATAAATAAGCTGGCTGGCCTCTTAGCTCAATTGGTTAGAGTGTGGTGCTGAGAATAATGGAAGCACTATCTCCATAAGTTATCCAACTCCATCCCCATTTTTAAAACTAGTTTTTTTGCTGTTGTTTTTGGTGGCTGGCTGATATGGGAGCTGAATTTTTGAGACTGGTGTCATTAACACCACGCTCTAACCACCTGAGCGAATCAGCTAGCCCTAAAACTAGTTTTAACACTAAAGTATTTATGAACAAAATAATATGTCTGGGATACGCATCAAAATAATCCAGTTGAAGGCAGGAGGGAAGGGGAGTGTGTGGTAAAGATGAAACCAGATGGCCCACGTGTTGACAGCTGCTGAAGCTGGGGGATGAATACATGGGGGTTAATATCTCTACTTCTGTATACATTTGAAAACTCCTATAATAAAAAGTAGGGAGAAAAACCACTAAACTACTATTTATCTGTAAAAAAAGAAAGCCACTAGGCTGTTTGAACTCTCTTCCCCCACTCTCACAGTTCCAAATTTATCTCATGGTAATAAAGGGGAACAAAGACAAAAGTATCCATTTATTTATTTACAGAACTTCACATAAAACACACCATTATTTCTCCTGTTTACATAAATACACACACACAAATACTAGTTCAAGTCTCAAAAACCACCTACATGCATGGCTTTCAATGAACTTGTCATGTTCCACTGGCCCCACAATCCTTGCAAATCGTCTCATTGTTTCATAAAGGTCTTGGACCTCCTTGGGATACCGCCGCTCCATTACTACACAGAAAGTAAAACACAACCATGTTACGAAGCATATAAGGATCCCTAACTTTTCTGTGTGTGCTTTTTTTTTTAATGAGAAGTAAAATGAAAGGACATTATTCCTAACCTCACCTGACTAATTTACCCATGACAGGAAGCAAACAGGAAAGCAAGGTATGAAAAACATTAATCATAATGATAACAGCATCACAGCAACTATCACACGGGGATGTTGTTATCACTGGAAGTCATCTCCACTACTGAGCACTACTGACCTCTCACATCTCACTGTCTTTTAATCTGTACAGGAGTATGAACTACTACCAGTAATGTATCACACGGGGATGTTGTTATCACTGGAAGTCATCTCCACTACTGAGCACTACTGACCTCTGACATCTCACTGTCTTTTAATCTGTACAGGAGTATGAACTACTACCAGTAATAGAAAAGACAGAGGCAAATCTTATATTCTTAGGAAAAATGTTGGCCAAAAGTTATGGTATTAACTCCCATAGGAAAACAAGAAAACTGCAGACACAGTAATCCATCTAGAAGAGACAGATTAGCCAGGAAAAGGTTTGTGATCTCTCCTATGCCCCACCTGAAATCTTCTTCCTACCTACACATCCTCAAGTAAGGTATATATAATTCATTCTCAACATGGGTCATTTTGCCTTCTTCTATTAAGTACTACGATTTAACTTACTGCTAACGAAATTATAGTTGACAACTATCACGCAAGTAAATGGTCACATATGCAGGGAGCCAGGGTCAGAAACTCTGGGGATCACTATTGACCAAACTTCTAATCAAAAGAGATATCTGTAAAAAAGACGGGGAGTAAAACTGACCAACAATAACTAGTAGGTTGGAGCAGCCAGGAACTCTCAAACTACTATTTGGTCATTTCAATCAAATAATCAGGAGTAACTAGGTTCTGTCTACTCTTGAACTAAAGATACAGGCTTTCACTTATGACAATTATTTAAATTACATCCTCTTTTCAGATGAATCATGCAAGAGACATTCTTATTCCAAAAATTCTAGGAGCTGATTTGATGAGCAGCCACAGATTATTTTCACTACAACAAAAGCCCCTCACTACAGGGATAACACAGGAATTTGGAGTAAAAATTTAAAATTTGAAGGGAAAAAAACCTGTGTACTGTATTATAGTCTCTTGTACATTCAGTACAATAGCAAATGAATACCTCTGAAACCACATTGCACATGCTACTTCTACATAGTCAGAAGCAACAGAGCTTCCCCCAGCCCTATACTTAATATAGTTAATAATGGGCAAAACTGACCTCTGTCCACCAGTTGAAAATAGAATTTATGCAAGAGTCAATGTCTACTATGAGTAAAGGTCAACACCCAACTAACCTATTATAAAAAACCCAGGAATTCAAATAGAGAAACCCACTACTGTGGCTATCAGAACACAACAAATTAATGTATATAGAAAACGCAAGGGGCCAGCCCCATGGCTCACTCAGGAGAGTGTGGCACTGGTAGTG